CCTGCTGAAGCCTGCAGGCTGGAGGGAGGCCTGGTCCTGCTGAAGCCTGCAGGCTGGAGGGAGGCCTGGTCCTGCTGAAGCCTGCAGGCTGGAGGGAGGCCTCCTCTGCAGCTGATGCTGCATGGCGTCCATCTGAGCTCTGGAGGTGAAAGACAGCAGAACTGAAAGGTCACCTGATGCTTGGGCTGCAACTAATGATTGCTTTGCTTATCAATTATTCTGTCGATTATTATAATAATCAGAGCCAAAGGTTCCTTAAAGAGGATTTTGCACAGAAATAAACCGGTTGAAACTAAAACTGTTCCTGGATAAACTGTATTTACAGATGAAAGTTTTTAATCTTCAATGCAAAATATTTATATATAGTTTTTCACATTCTTGGTATAATTGCTGCTCTCAGCTCTGTCAGCTAAAGGTGTGTTTTCAAGTTTCTATATTCCAGTTAACAATCGATTACTAAATTAGTTGATGCTTATTTCATAATAGATTAGTCACATTTTTTCAGGCCTACCTGATACTGAGCCCTGCTGCAGCTGGATTATCTTTACAATCAATTCATCTATCATTACTGTTTGATTCATCATCTACAATCTACTAATCTACAAAAGAGAGACTTTGTTGTACGTTAAAAATCCACAAGAAAGAAATACTTAGAGATGAAGAAAAAAAATTAAGTTATTAACTTATTAGATTTTTACAATTGACAAAAAACAGCCAAACAGATCAGAGCTTCTAGGAGGCTGTAGATTCTATAAAACTCACCATGACAGCAGACAGCATTTCTATGGATGTTTCAATTTGGGAGATGTGATGAAATTAAGTTTTTAAACATTCAATCGACCGAAATCAAGATAAATGAATAATTAAATTACTAATGAGATGAGAACATCCCTGTGGTTCCTCCTCTATCAATGCTCATCCTCTCTGTGTCTCTATCTGGTTGGACTTTTCTTGGCTGCTGATCTTTAAAAAATTAAATGCAATGCTTCTTTTCCTTTTGTGGACCTGCTGTTGGTCTGTGAGGCAAACCTGAAAGCTTGAAGAATTTAGAGATTTCTGTTGGTTTTATTAGTCCTAAAATCAGACGGGAGATTATTCAACTAGCCTGAGCAATAATTATGTAAGTTTGAGCAAAACTGGGACTAAAACTGGGACTAAACCAGGAGGAAAAACTACAGCAAACAAGGAGAGAAGCTCAGTAAGAACGTTCATGCTCTGTTCTGCCTGATGCAGCCTCCTGGAGCTGCTGCTGTGCTGACTTTATACGGGGGGTCCAAATGAAGCCGGGTCAGTACCGTTCATTCAGGTTCACGTTTTTTTTTTAAACCTTTCTCCTTCTTTGTTTACATGCTGTCTGTTTGCCAGTGAGTGAAAACAAAAAGCAAATGGCTAAACGGGAAAGAAGCTCTGCAAAAAAAACAAAATACCAAAAGCAACATTTAATCTAGAGATTATTCAAAGTTGCTCAGGACCAGAGCCTCAGTCAATGGGAGGTCCAGGAGGAGGAAACGGTTCGGTGGTTCAGATGGTCCAGTCCCATCTGCTGCCAGGAATTACTTGCATGCCTTTTTGCATGAAGACGTTTTAATTTTAGCTTATAGGAATCATGAAATGCTTTGGTGACTTTCAGTTCTATGACGTGAGCTGCAGCTTAGTTTAACTTTAGTCAATGAGCTGCTCGCCGCTCATTCACTCAGTTTCTTTCCTTTTTTGACCAACAAAGCAGATGTGAGAATATTAGAGGGGAAGCTAAAAGAGCTGACTCATGAAAACAGGCAACATGAACATCCTTTTACTCTAATGTTCTCTGGGTTTCAACAGTTCCACAAAGACATGTGGATTTAACCTTTAGGACGTTTCATCCCAGTCATGTCAATAACTTCCCTGCATTTAATGCAAACATGGTTGATCAGAGAAACTAGACAGAGATGTTTATCAGTGTTTGGTTTCCTCCACCTCTCAGCCAAGCTCTTCTCCTGCCGTTCGTAGTTCTTTGTGTTTTATAGTTTTATCTCCTGTCGCTGTTTGTTGCAGGTGTTTGAGTCAACATGGAAGCAGAAAACAACAACCAGCCTGCTCTGGACAATCACAACAATCTGTGCACGCTAAAAGCTCAGGAGGATCAGGTGAGAGGGGTGGTGCCTGCAGCGGAGGATCAGACGTTCACAGTAAATGTTGCTGTCTTAAAGTAACACTCAGAGTGTTAAAGTAACACTCAAGAGTGCATTTGGTCCCACTCTGAATTAGTGTGGGACCAAATGCACTCTCAAAGTGCTACTTTAACACTCAAAGTGTTATTTTACCACTGCAACATTTACTGTGTTGGAGCTGCTACTGGCAGGCGTCCATGTGGGCGTGTCAGACCGGACCATCTAGCACCGCCGACCTCAGTCTGATATCTGTTTTATTTCTCTGACCCTCCCATTGAACAGAGAAACGCATCAAGCCTGAAGTACTGCTGCACTGCGGCCAACTTCCACATTGAGAAGAAGATCGGACGCGGTCAGTTCAGTGAGGTTTATAAAGCCACATATCTGCTGGACGGCCAGCTCGTTGCACTCAAGAAAGTCCAGGTATGTTGCCTCAGAAACACTCCAGGAAGTAGTCCCGCCCCAGTGTGTCGGCCACTGGCAGGAGGCTCATATCCATTAACCTAAAACATTTTACAGTGCAACACACTCAGATAACCACACTCTGCTCCACCACTGCAGATCTTTGAGATGATGGATATGAAGGCTCGTCAGGACTGCATCAAGGAGATTGATCTTCTGAAGGTAAGGCGCTAATGGTAAACTGAGACTTGGACTTAAATGAAATCCCCTGCAGACATTAGTCCTGTTTACTAAGAAATAAAACTGGACTAACACTGGAGTTTGAATAAAAAGAACAGCAGCCTCAGATTAGATCACGTCACGTGGCGATAACTGGTGATTAAAATCACCAGTTATCGCCACAAATGCATGTGGCTGCTGTGTCCGTAGCTTAGCAACAACAGAACTGATGACATCACTCAAAGTGTCAGGAACGGAAGATGGTGGAATTTAAACTGTTGCCAAAACACTGATAAACTCTATCGGCCAATAATATGGTCAGAAACAACAGTTCAGCATCTGGGCTGCAGTGATGAATCTTCTCACCAACATGTCCTCCATCTGTTGGTCACTAACTCTGCCAACCCTCTGAGCTTCCCAGTCTTCTTTAAATGTCTGCCTGCTGGTACGGTCAGAGAGACGCTGGAGTCTGAGCTATGATCCTGCAGCCATGTTTCAGTTAAACACATCATGCTGCATTGCTGATGGGTCCTTGCTGGGACTGGGAGTTCTTCTAAGATGTTTCCTAAAGATCTACATTGGCCATGATGACTGGTGGAAGAGATGTTTTAAATTTCTTCTTGCTCTCTCTTCTCCTTGCTTCTTGCATCCCGGCACCTCCTTTTTAAACTCTGTTGGTACTTGTAGAAGTAGTTGAAGTGTTATTTAGAGATGTTAAAGAGCTGCTCCTGGGTGTGATAAAATCAACTTGCTATGGTTGCTATGGTTACGCATCATAACAAGCATCCAAAAAGGACAGAAATATCAGTGAAAAACTCTCCAGTTTCACATCTTTCAACAACAGAGGAGAAAAAGTTTAGAAAAAAGAAACTGATCCACAAAGAAAGGAATATCAGAGTCAGGCTAGCAGAGCGACTCCAACGTTCAGCCTCCTTAAGCGGTACTGAACTCTAGAACATCATGGATCCTTCCTGGACTAAATCTCTTCTGCTGTAATTATTGATCTTTTCCCCTGAGCTTCATCTTCCTTCACGTCAAAATCCAGTTCACCCGCTACGCAGATGACACCTCGCTCTACCCCGCCTGCAACCCCTGCCATGTCAGCCCCCTTCCCTCTCTCCTCGTACCCCTCAACTATCAACTCTTAGTTCAAAACACATTTTCTTGAACTAGACAGCTTCTTATCTCCCCCTCCTTTAAAGTGACGTGCCTGGGTGTCATCATTGACAGCCCCCTCCTCTTTAAACCCCAAATAAATAGCATCACCTGTTCTGCTTATTTCCACATGCAGGCTATGAACTGCTTTGTCCCTGTCAGCCCCTCTTCACTTTGTCCTTATTCATGATTTAATCGCCTGCTGTAGTTTCCTCCTGTTCCTGTAGCCTGTAATATTACCCCCCCCCCCCCCCCCCCCCCCCCCCCCCCCCCCCCCC